TTCAAAATAGTCCAAAAAATCATGTATAAACAAAAAACAGTCCGATACAGAACAGTCCGGTTTAAGGTCGCCGGTGGGCGCGCTACGCGGCGATAACCGGCTCTAAATTCCATATAGAGTCCTGCCCTCTGTTGGCAAGCTCGCAACACGTTGGCGCGACTGCGGTGGTCACTATTTTGTTGTTTGTTTGCTGAACAAAGGACAATTCTCGGCCTACCGGCTTGTTAAAACAATTATTACTTGACTGTTTTTCGGACTGTTTTGTACAGACACGCCATGAAGCTATTGGGTTCCCGAAGACTAGCCCGAGATTTATATTTTCTGCACAGGTTGAATTCTGATTCTTCAAAATTTTAGTTTTGTTGGTCCTGTAAGTTGGTTTATTTTTTTTGGGAGGCCAAGTTAGCTGTGAAATTTTTATCTTAGAATGTTTTCGGATTTGTTTTTTTTTTTCGAAAAAAAAATTTAAATTTTTTTTTGAAACTTTTCCGAAACTCTTTAACAGAAATTTGAAATTTTTCTGGAATTCATCTAGAAACATTTTGATGAAAAAATTCCAAAGAATTCTAACTGTTCGCAAAAGAAAAATATGTATCGGTATCGCTATATTTCTGGGACACACGTGCAACGGAGCTTGGGACCAATTGTCATACAAGAACATTTAGAGGAACTAGAGTCGTAATGAACACAGTTTTGATATAACAGTATTCACGAAAAAAACTACGTGAGATCTGAGACTATGTGAAAATTTTAGAAGAGATTATTAGAGATTTTTGGAAAAATTATAATCGGCTATAATTGATTATAATTTATTATAATGTCACGAAATAGTTATCATTATAATGGATTAAAAACCGTTTAAACATCTAATTTTGGTGCGTATAATTAATTATAATTTTGATAAAATTACAATTATAATTGTAATTTATCGATTATTTTCTTTTTTTACCGAGTGCGGGTAGTCTTGCGTTATTTGAATCAATTAGTTCGACTAAAGTCAATTTAAAAAGGTGATTGAAAATATTTTAGTATTATGAAAAACATTAATGCGTTATAAGTGTAACCACAGCAATTCATCCTTTTCAACACTTTTTTAAAAAAGTTTATTCGCGAACCACAATTGTTTGAAAATTTTGAGTTTTTGAATATATAATTAGGTAATCAAATAACATCATAATTTCCGATGATTGCACAGCGAGCTAGCAAGCGTAGTGTTATCTTATCCAGTGCTTAATTGGTGGAATTCTCGCTGCTGAACATAGGCAAATAAATAGTATTTGCTGTATCTGCTTCTGACTGCTTATGGCTTCCTTTGTTGTTTTCTTATGACTTGGCGAGATGAAAAAAAAAATGTTTTTTTTTCTGAATTTTGTTCCATAGTCGTATATTTACACTTGTGAAAGCAAGTATCTTGTAATCGGGAACTAGACTAGAGTAAGTAGAACAAGCGGGTATGCTCAATTTTTTTACAGACAAAGTTATGGCTCTCGGAATTGTCAAATTTGGATTTTTTGACCGTTTTTGTAAAATTTTTGAATACCCTCCTATCTGAGATTCTGGGCTTAATCCAAGGAACGGATATGTGAAGCTTTTTTGCATACGCGAATACGGCCAGGGTTTTTTGAAACAAAAAAGCATGGCTCTCGGAAAAGTCAAGACATATTATTTTTAATCGTTTTCAAACTTTTTAAATTTTCTCGAGAACCACCATACAAAATCTCAGGTTAAGTATTCAATTGAGAAAACCGGTTTCTTGATCTTCTGTAGGTTAGCGGCCACAACTTGGTTTTTAAAGAAAAAAGTTATGGATTTCAAAAAGTCAATTTTTTGAACGTATGACCAGTTTTTTAAGAAACTTTTGAATTTTTCTTCTAAGAGAAACGTTATATTCTTGGAAAAATTCCAGTATCTCAAGAATGTTCACTTCTCACTTATTTACGTAGAGAAACAACTAAGGTTTTGGGCAAAGTAAAATGTTTGCGCAAAGAAGAATGTTTGGGGCAAAGTAAAATTACGCATTTTGTCTTGCATCAGTATAACAAATTGAAAAGAAAATCAAATACCTACCTCCAGGTTTAGCTAGGCCCGTAGTTGTCTTTTTTCGAGATATGCGAAAATTTTGGGTCAAGTAGTTTTTTTCAGGGTTTTTTGTTACCCATGTTTTTTTATATTCACAAGTGGTGCGAAGCTCCGCTTCACCTCTGGGTATTACACTTGCAAGAGCAAGTGCCTTGTAATCGGGACTAGACTTTTTCCCGTAAACAACTTGTCTCACAAATTTTACTCGCTTTTCTTACTTGCTTTATTGACGAACCTTACCATCTTCCAGGGTTGTTCCCACTTGGTCTAGAGGTAATATCGTTGCCTTTGCACCGTAAATTCTAGGATTTTAAACCCGGCCGGTTCTTATTTTTTTAGTGTTATGTATAAAATCAATGTTTCCACGAAAAGAATGAATTATCGGACTTTCCTTTGTCTGCTGAAGTTTTGTCGGCTTAGTTGAGACATCGCGGATTTTTCGTTTGCTGTATTCATTATATTTGCGAGTTGCGAGTGTTGTTCATTGAAGTTTCTGGGATGTAATTAAAAGAATTTTACGAAATCATGTTTTTTCGGATCAATTGATGTCTGCTCCAAGATGTGGGATTTCTTGCCGCTTCGTCAGGTTTCTTCCGTTGCTAATTCAAGATTCAAATGTTTTGCTAGACATGAACTTCGCCTAGAATGAACTTTTATCGAGACATACGAAAATTTTGGTAAATTTAGAGTTTTTCAAGATTTATTTTTCGACTTATGTTTTTTACCCTTGCGATCAGCAAGGGTTTTGCAATCGGGTACCAGACTTTTTTCCCGTAAATAACGTTGTTCACAGAATGGTCAAAATTAGAAATGCTAAATTTAGGTTCAGTTCATAATGAATTGAAGTTTCATAGCGTATCTGGCACACTTGGTCTGGAGTTAAAGAAAACGCCTGTGACGGCAAAGGACCTGTGTTCGAATCTGACAAGACGTTTTTTTTCCGACCTGAAATATTTCGTTCCAAAAAAAATTATCGCGTTATTTCTATGCTTATCTTGTATCGGCTTAATTGCCATAACTTAGTTTTTTTTGCTGTATGTAGTTTACATTGTAGTTGGTTTTAGTGTTTCGATTTACTTCTGCTGTTTGTACTTTTACTAACCTTGGTTTCGTATATTTTCTTTTCTCTTGTTTTTCTTTTGCTTGAAATTTTTGTTCTGCCCAAATGATTTTGGCTTATATTTCATCGACTTAGTGACTTAATTTTGAGTCGTTTCAAGGAAAACATATTTTTTCTGCTCCCTCTGCATCGCTTAAAATGCTACAAATCTTAAAAATAAAATTTAGAGTTCAAAGATTTTCATGGCAATAATTATTTTTGGCTCTACGGGAATTTACCCAAGTTTTGTCGGCTCAGTTGCCGCTCGCTAAATTTTTCTTTGGTTTTTCATGAAACGTCGGCGATTGGGTTTCTTGAGATGTGTTTTCCGCAGATAGAACACAACTCCAGACAATTTTGAAGTTTTAGTTGTAGTTTTAGTTTTTGAAGTTTTAGTTGTAATTTCTCCAAATTTGTTTCAATTTTTTGGACTTTTTTGGACTATAGTTTTTTTTTTGCTTTCTGCTAGGTTATAAGGTTATTTCTTATGTGCTATCGCTTTGCCACTAGGTAAAAAGAAAATTATTACAAGAACTTCAGCTAGAAGTCCTGGATCACAAAAATCTGCCACATTGCAAGAATGACTCATCTCAATGACTTACAAATAGCAAAAATTGTTTGAATCATAAAAGAACTTCCACTAAAGCAAATTTTAAAAAAATGAACAAAACCGTATCTTTGCTTTCAAAGTGTGCAGGTAACCTTTGCACCAAATTTTCAGAAACAGACATTAGACTAAAAAATGTCTGTAAATCAAGCTATCAATGTTTCTCTGATTCGCAACCGTACACATGGAGTTCAGAAATTTCAAGATGAAATTGTCAAGTTACCAGTAAATATTCTTTGTTGAAGCAATTTGAAAAGTTTTTGAAATTTTCTGATAGATTTTTTTTACGTATCTGATAAATGAATTAGTCCTAACCTAACGTTTTTTTCCTGTTGGTTCTGTTTACTTCTTCTGATCTCAAGTATCTGAAAAATTTTGGTTCCAGTTTGCGCGGTATGTTATATTGTTTTAAGATATGATTTTTATCATTGAGGATGTTTACCCATTGAACTTTTCGAACGCAGCGTGCTCATTTTTTTGGAATCAACGCCGAATAGTCGAATGTATTTCAAGCTTTTGTGAATATTAATTTTCAAAACTGATTTGAACTACTCGTGCGGCCAACAGCAAATTTAGAAAGCGGAACATGAGTGCCAGCAGAAGAGCTTTCGACTTAGTTTTAAGAGGGTAAAGAGCCTCTCAATTCATCATGAGGTAAATGAGCGCGTTGGTATTTGATTCTCAATTTACTACCAGCCAACAACACAGTATTATGCCACCAACACAGTTCTGAATGAAAAGTAATTAGCTAACTATAGATTTAGCGTTCGAAGCGTTTCTTTCTTTATTTGGACTTTTTGCACTCAGAAAAGTCATGAGAGGATTTGGCGACGCAAAATTTGATTAGCTCGTTTTGATAACAACTTGAGTTAAGCTACACCTATGCTATGCGGTGTTGTGTTTATTTGTTGTTTTTCATCAGCTCTGAGTCATTAATTTTTTTACCAAGTCTAATATCACATGCCGAAAACTTTCGGAGCATCTGTGAACCGGTCAAAAAAGAGTTGAGCGACGACTGGCATGTTTATCGGCGTCGCTTGCAACGAGATGAGTTTAAATCAAGTTTTCTCTCGATTCGGTTAAATGTACTCTAAATAAATTAACAATCAAAACCATTCATGATAAAAACATCAATGAAAACATATCTTGGCTATAACAATGTATAACAATACCAAATTTGATTCAATTATAATTTTTCTTGCTTTAAAATTTTAATTTTGTTATCTTATTGAGAATGCTAGCTTGCACCACGGTTTATTATTAGAGTGTTTTACTTAATACTTTTAAATATTTAAATATTTTTTCTGTAGTTTTTGTTTCGTTTACGAGATGATACTTAGCTAATTATATGAGGCATGTGTTTTTCTTTAATAAATTGGTCAAATTTATTGGTTTGAAAATAAGAAGTCATTAACTGCTGCTAAACCTCCAGAAGGCATTACTGTGGAAATAAAAGAGCTCTTCATCAATACAAGTTAATTAAATGATTCTGTGATTTATTTAACCAAACAAGAATAGATAGTATAGTCTAGAATGTAAAATATCTGTTACGAACGAATCCTTTGACAATATGCGATCTTTTATTATATATGCAGTCACCAATTTTCTTTGAAGAAAAAAATACAATTTTGAATGCTTAACTCTACTCGTTAAAAACGGTTTTTATTGCAATATACGGGTTCCTTTACAAACCAATGTTGAGAAAGGCGCTCTTTTGAGAGAGAACATTTTTCGAACAAATTAAACTACTTATCATTTCCTCTCAGTTGGAATAATCTGAAACATTCATTGACATCGGGAAGAGTTAACAGGAACTCGTTTGGAAAACCTTAATCTTGTTATTAACAAGGGATCTTGTACCAGAGTATTGTCATACAGTTACATTGTAAGTGTTGTGATCGTGTGGCACCGAGATGGCGACGTTCAGCTCCAATGACATGGCCATGGCCATCATCTTCTGTACTTTGGGCACCTTTCTCCTCATGTCTCTCATATTCTTCATCCTCATTAAATTTTGCTCATTTCCTCGCGGAACAGGTTAGTGGTTGCTTGCCTTCAATCAGAGGGAAGTAGGCTCTGTATTAGAATGGAATCCACAAAAAAGCGTTTCCATCTGTTTTGGATTTCACTTACAAAATTACTTCGCTTGAACACGTTTACAGCGCTCTTGCCTAGTAATGTGACATCTAAATATGAATAGCAATTGAAAAAAAAAGTGATGCAATCGCTTTTTTAAGCCCAGAAAAGGTTATCCCTAAAGCAGAAAACGCGAAGAGTTGTTGTGATAATCTCAGAGCAACGCTCAGTTAGTGTTCTCACTTCAATAATATTTTCGCTGTCAGCAGTTTTTCTACATACTTTCTTCAAGTGATGTTAAGACTTAATTAGCACAAAATGAGTTTATTCAGACCCTCTGGAGTTGTGCCGATAATTTCTTACAATTTGATCACAATAATGCATATTTATATTACTGTTAGTCTGCAAATAGTGGTTCAACAAATTACAGAAAGTTCATACATCGGACTAAAATTTTTAATTTTCAATAAATTAGTTCATTTTTCATTCGTTTTTGCTTCTAGTTTTGTCAGATTCTCTCCAACCATTAGATCCAATGGGTATGTGACATAAAAACACGCTATGCAGTATCCTCATTTTGGTAGTAAACTCAGAAAATTTATGATAATTCCCAAATAATTTTAATTTGATGAGGATAGGTAAAATGAACCAATTTGATGGCTTTAGGAGGGAAGGATTCTACAGACGGTGGTAGAGGTCACATCGCTCCACCAGTCAACCAGGGAGTCAACTCCAATGGTGAGTAAGCTTTTGACGTGATTAATGATGTTAACAGCATAACATGGTCTTAGTCAGCGTGATCTGTTCCATTTCCACGAGTCAAGTTTCAACATTTTTGACAAGCAAGTTCATTTTCCGAGAAAAAATATTTCTGTTCCTTGTTAATTGTTTCTTTTTTGTTTCTTTGCATATTTAGATCTGGTTTTATATAATGGAGTCATTCTGTTTTTGTTTTTCAATTTGAATCAGCATGAGCTATTTCGGGTTATTAAAAGAAAAATAATTTCTGACTGTTCATGTTATGCCAACATGTTTACTTAGCCATGCTCTTTTGAAATTTATTTGAAATTTATTGCTGAGCAGTAGTTCGTGGGATCGATTCCGATGGTGCTATGTGTTTGTTTGAATCAAAGTCTTTCTAAAATCAGCGGTATAAACTTTCTTCATTAGCCGTTAATTTCGTTGTGCATGCAAGTGCAAATGCACTTTTTTTATATAAATTGTCGGGTGCCGCTACAACCTGCAAGAAAATCAAAAGGCAACAAGCATATCCCATTGCTACACAAGTAGCACAGAATGTTACGATCACATTCATACAATACTTAACTAGTTTAAGTTTTATTGAGTTTTTCAATTAGTGTCGTTTCTTGGGCGTGACGTGATGAGAGAACTGTAAACACGCGTAGAAAGTTAGCGGGTAGCCGTGGCTGAGTGGGCAAGACCCGCGGCCTTAAACACAAAGTTCATGGGTTGGAATCTCGCTTCGGTAACGGTTGGAGGAGTAAATGTGATCCACCTCCTCAAATTGGGAACGGTTGCGGCGAAATAGATGACATCTTTCTCCCACACGGAAACAAGGCACAAGGTTAAATGGCGAGAGCTCGGCCGGGGGCTAATAAAAAAGCATATCATTTATTTTGTCCAATGATATAAGTAAAATTCAAAAAATATAGTTGGGCATGCTCGACAACAGTTGTTTTCCAAATTAGAATAAAAAGATAATTGACAAGAAAGCTTCAAAACTAAATTGTTTTTAATTAAATCAATTTTTTAGCCTAAAATACGAATTTTTGTATAACAGATATCACGCAACTACTTTATTCGCTCTAAAATAATCTAACACTCAAAGAGATTAAACCTGTTTTTCTCGACACTGAGACATGTTTCTGAGTTTTTTAAAAAAGTTTTCCAATCAGGATTGAAATGGTTTCAATATTAAATATCATTCGAGCCATTCTGATAAATAATTGTGGAATGTGATTTTACATGGAAAACCAAAAAGTGAAACAGCCGAATTCATTCCCATTTTCATTGATCGTAACAAAAAGAGAGGCTCGATTAAAACTCAAGCAGACTCGGTTAAAATTTTCCCTTCCATCTCAACCAAAAACCAGTGAGGCTTCAAAGTTTCTTAAACGTATACGGTTTTTGTCGAGTCGAAATTAAATGAAAGAGCTTCTAGCTGCAAAATTGAATCCTTGTTCATCGCTTCTAAGAGGTTCTGATATCCTGTTGCATTTTTCTCATTTACGGTGCTTTTGTTGTCTAAATTGCGGATTTGAAATCTTGTACAATTTCTGAAGACTCTTATAGTTGGTGAAGCTCACGTAAAAGCCAGTGTTTCGTGGCGTTATTACTGCGTTTTTTGTTGCCATACAGCAACCAATGGAACTGATTAGTAGTTTATCATCATGCACAGTATATACTTAGTAAAATTTCGAAGTGCAACTTCAAAAGAGTCATCAGCGCTATGATGTGTAACGCTCATGAATGTCCAGGCTTAAGTCAACGGTCAATACCAAAAGCAGTTTGTAATCGCTGTCTTCGAGTCATGAGCCAAGATGTTTTTCCTGCTTAGAGTTGCCCGAAGTTCCACAAAACTGCGATGTCCACGAAGTTCTATGGCACATCTCCTGTCTTTTTTGCGCTGAATCTCGAAATCGACGTTAATTAAGGAATGTTTGCTGCGCACTCATCAGAGCTGAAAATCATTACGTTTTGATAGATAGATTAGGGATGTTTTTACGTGTTTTGCGCTCGTTCCTTCGTTTCTTTAATGACACGAATATGTTCTGTAAAAGTTACATCTTGCCGCCACAGATTTTGCAAACGGTTTGAAATCTTTTTGAAACTTTTTGTCCATATATGTTTTGTGTACAATCCTTCTCACGATTTTTAGCTGCTATGCATGTTTAACAGGCATGCTTTTTTCATTTTTTAAACTTGAAGTGTTTCATATATAAGTTGAGTAAATGCAAAAAAAATCAGACTAGTGTAGAAAACATACTTTTTGACTTCTTGTTGATGAGGCAAAAACAGTCTGTGAATGTTCCGATTGTTTCTCAAATAAATCGTCATGTGTGAATACTTATGATTTGCAAAATTTGTTCAAGCATCTCGGAATTATTATCCTGGGTTAAGTTTTGTTTTCAGTGCTGACTTTTACCTAGTTGCAACCTCATTCAAGCACTTGAACATATTTAGAAATGAAAACTATTTTGATTTTCTGCGATTGGCAATTGCGTATTGTATTGGAGCGTATTGTATTCAATTTGTGGTGTTGAAAGAACGAAAAGACTTGTCTCTGAGCAATAATATATTATTTATATAACTGAGGGCTTCACTATCTCGTCATGTTGAAGGTTTTTCAACTTACTGTTTTTGCATGTTTACCGAAAGAATTTTTTCTCGTTTAAGCTATATCGTATATTGCAATGGTTATGGTTTTTTTTCGAGTTTCCACTTCGATTTCAGAGCTCATTTCAATGAGTTTAAAGTAAGCAGCTCAATAGTGGGATGATATCAGGGTTCCCCGGGCTTTGCGAAATTTGCCCAAATATTTTTAGTGTACGAGCTACGACAATTTTTGTGATTTTTTTTCGAAAATTTCTAGAAAAATCAATTTAAAAAATAATTCAAGTTTGAATATCCCAGCCCTGTAGGTGGGGCTGCCAGAGTACTCTCAGGAATTGCGAATCTTGCATGCAAATTTAATTGCTCAAATATTTGTATTTTTTGAGATATGATGTGTTTTATGAATTCTTTTAATTTTTCAGCAAACTTAGAGTTTAAGAATTTCAAAAGAATTGATATTCCCAACCTTGTTGTTAAGTTCTTTGAGGGTACTTTCAGGAGTTCCAACTTTCAAATTGTGCGCCCATGTGCAACTGTTCAAATGCTCCTAGTTACCGAAATGTGGCCTTTGTTGTCTTTTGTTTTATATGTTCATAGAACTTAGATATAAAAGTTGCACAAAATTTGAAGTTTCCATCTCAATACTTACGGTGTTTCTAGTTAATCCCAAGATTTGCTAATTTTGCCTCCTAATATGATTGCTAAAATGAAACTAGTTTTCGAGGTTTGACTTATTGTTTTAATGCTTTTTTCCATAGTTTTTTCAGAAAACTTATATTTAAAATTTTTGTTTCAAAGTTTGATTTTCCCAGCCCTGTAGTTGGAGGCTTTCAGAGTAATATCAAGAGTTGCGAATCTTGCCTCCAAACATGACTGCTCACATCTATGTAGTTATCCAGAATTGATGTTTTTTCGTGATTTTTCAAAAAAAGTTAAGAAAAATCAAGTTTAAAAACTTGAAATTGCTAACGCTGTAGTAAGGGGTTGTCAGAATACTCTGAAAGTTTGCATATCTTGCCTCAAAATTTGACTTTTCAAATTTTTTAAGTTTTTTGGAATTTTCTTGAAGTTCGAGAGTACAGTGAGAGTACTCTCAGGCGTTGCAAATCTTGCATCCAAATGCGACTGCTAAGTTATGTTTTACTTTCCGAGATTTGATATTTTTTGATATCATTTCAAATTCTTTCAAAGAACTTAGATTTTAAAAAACATCACACATTTCGATGGTTTTTCATAAATTGAATTACAGAAAACTTGAAAAAAGAACTTTCATTGCGACATTTTAAATTGCCAACCCTGAAATTGTGTGCTTTCATAGTACACTCAAATGATGCAGATCTTTTTTCGAGTATATGCGTTGTTTCATGAGTTGCACCGGCGGTGCATTACACACTAGTTGCTCTGAAAACTAAGACTTTCTGCCCGCATAGATTTGTCCGAAGTTCCATAAGGTTTGTGATGTCCCCCAAGTTCTTTGGCTTAACTGCTAAATCTTTTTCGCGTTGAAGTATCCCATATAAAATGTAGTGTGAATCTTTGTTTTCATTTAAATACTGGAATGGTTTATTTGCGAGAACACGCATATGACCCTCAAAAATTTTGGTATTTTCATCAAAAATTGTGATGGAATGCGTTTTAAAATCTGAGTCGGTCAACTTGTTCAGTACAGTCCTTACTTTTTCAGTACCTGTTTTTTTTTCTATTCCGTCTTCTTTGTCTGCTGTTTATTCAGTTTGCTCAAACTAGGTCAATTTTTGTACAACATTTTCTGTAATTACACTTTTATAAAATTGTAGCAGCCTTTTTTTCTTCTTTTTCACTCTTGTGATAAGCACGGTCATTGCAACAAAACATTTTCCCCCTTCAAATGTGTCGCGAAAATGTTTCGTGTTTCGGCCTGTTTATTATTGAATACAATTTAGAAACAGCTATGTCCGCCCTAGGTTTTTGGTTTGAAATTTTTTTGCTTCAATTTTTTGATCGACTAAAGTTATGTCTTAACTGCCTAAAAATGTTGTCCTTGATAGTCAAAAAATGGAAAAATTATTCTTGTTTTTACACCGGAAGGATTTCAAACTTTGAGTTTCAAATTTATGTATAGCTCAATTTTTTTATATCCGGAAGGACTTCAAACTGAGTTTTAAATTTATGTATAGTTCAATTTTTTTTAATATCCGAGTCTTGAGCTAAGACTTTCTGCCCGCATAGATTTGTCCGAAGTTCCATAAGGTTTGTGATGTCCTCCAAGTTCTTTGGCACAACTGCTAAATCTTTTTCGCGTTGAATCGCGAAAGCGACGTAAATTAAGGCATGTTTGCTGCGCACTCATCAGAACTGGCAATCATAACGTTTTGATAGATAAAGCAGGTATGTTTTGCTTATTGTGCGCTTGCTTAGTTTTTCTTGCTTGACACGAATATGTTCTTGTAAAACTACCGTTTGCCCTCCACGGTATTGCATATTGCAAACGGTTAGAAGTCATTTTAAAATTTTTTGTCTAAATATGTTTTGCGTACAATACTTCTCACAATTTTTAGCAGCTATGCAGGTTAATCAGGTTTGCTGTTTCATCTTTTAAAATTGAATTATTTCGAATTCAGGTTGAAGAATTGCGGAAACGTTGAGACTAGTGTAGAAAACATACTTTTCGACTTCTCGTTGATGATTCAAAACTGAATGTAAATATTGCAATTGTTTTTCCATAAATAAATTTTCACGTGTTAATACCTGTGATTTGCACCATATTTTAGAATTTCATGTTTTAGAAATTTTTATGCGGGGTTAAGATTCTTTTTCAGTGCTGACGTTTTCCTAGTTGCAACCTTATTCAAGCAAGTTAACTTATATAGAAAACAAAATATGATTTCGGTTTTGAGCGGTAGGCAATCAAGGGTTTGTAATCAATTTATGCTGTTTAACGAACGAAAAGACTCATATCTCCGCAATAACTCCTGTGACAAAAGTATAAAACATGGCGTGAAACTGTTTTCTTTTACATACTGGACTTATTCATTTTGTGAGAACCCCCATATGGCCCTCAAATATTTAGTCTGCTTCTCAATAATTGTGATTGAGTGCTTTTTAAAACCTGATTCGTTTCAATTTGTTGAGTGAAAACTCACTCCCATATTTTTTCAGTACCCGTTTTTTTTATCTTCATTCATTTTTTTCCGTTTTCATGCTTATTATGAGCACGATAATTGCAAGCGGATCCTTTTCCCACTCAATTCTCTCGTGAGAATGTTTCGGTTTTCGGCCTGTTTATTGTTGAATACATTCTATGTTCAGCTATGTTGCAAATTTGGCCAGAAGGTAATCTTGGATTGTTTTTGCCTTAAGTTTGTAGTTTGTATCCCGGTTGGACAGTTCTCAATTTCTTTTTTCGCTTCGAATTCTTTGATTGACTTACTTTTTGTGGTCCTAGTTGCCGAAAAATTTTGTCCTTGATGGTTCAAAAGGAAAATTATTCATGTTTGTACTTTGAGTTCTAAGTTTCTGTAAAAATCAAAACTTTCTATTTATCCCCGAGTCATGAGCCAAAATGTTTTACCCGCTTAGAGTTGTTCAAAATTCCACGGGAGTTGCGATGTCTCAGACGTTCTTCTGCACAGCTACTAAGTTTTTTTTCGCGTCGAATCATTCTCGTAAATTTAGGCATAATAGCTGCGCTCTCATCAGAACTGACAATCAATACGTTTTGACAGATAGATCGGCTAGCTCATTTATTTCTTGCCTCAGCAGATATTGCAAATGGTTAGAAGACGTTTTGAAACTTTATGCGCAAATATGTTTTGCGTACAATCCAATCCTCTCACGATTTTTGGCAGCTATTTAAGTTTAACTTGCTTGGCCTCTAAGTTTTAAGTTCGAAAGTTGACAATTTTGAAACGAAAAATAGTCTGGACGAAAAATAATTAAAATTTGACCCATCAAAACATTGAGTATGCTTTAATATTTTTGTACAATGCTTGTTAGAAAAAGTATTTTGTCCGATAGCACGGTTGTTTTCTGACACTTATCCTGTCAACCACTTGCTTATCCTTGGAATACTGCGGGCTTGAAAAATGAAGAAAATTAAATTGAAACAAGGACAACTGGCTGCTGTGCAAGTAGCACAGAATATTCCGACTATACTCTTAAAAAATACTTCTAAGTTTTTCGTTTTATTTTTTTTCAAACAAGTGTCAATTTTTTGTGCGTAGCGTAGTGTGATCAAATGATTTAGGGAATTTTTCATCTAATTTTTTCTTTGTTTTTTTTGTAGTTTTTTAAGTGTCGAACAATCTTCGCAAAGTTAATTTAACTGAGTTAAAGTTTAAGTTTAACGGCTTATCTTTCTACAATAAGCGTGCTCGCTTGCTTTATCCGCTCAAATTTGAACTGAAACTCAAAAAGTTTTAACCCGCTTTTTTTCTCGAACCTGGGACAATTTTTTGAAAATCCTGATTTTGCATGGAAAACAATGAACGAAAAAACTAAAGCACACCCGTATGCAAAAATTTTCCTCATTTTTAAAGGTCGGAATTTTACAGAAAGAGGTTTCCGTGGAAGTAGCCCGCAAAATTTCCGTATGCTGTGATGTATAAAAAAAACTGAATTTTTTAGAAGTTTTTTAATGACGGGGGAGCAAGGGATGGGGCATATACTGAGAATGGGCTATTAGCTAATATTAAATTTGAAATTTCAAATCTATTTCTCTCGACAAAGAAAACTATAGGAATTTGTCATGACTTAACCGGTGAAAAACCAGAAATAAAATGGAAATACGGAGATACAGAAATACAGGAGGCTCACCAGAATATGTGGTCGGAACAAAAACTCCAGCTTATTATACTTGAGATATTCAGATATATATCTCGATTTGCGCTTGGAAACCTTGTAATAAAACCACCATTAATAAAGTACATTAAAATATTCAAAAAATGCGATAAAAATTATAAATTTTTTTCTTTTCTTGAAAATCGTTTTTAACGAAGATTTCAGTGGCCTGGACATGCAGTTATACTTGCACAGTGAATTACTTTTTTTTCTGAAGTTTCGCAATTAATATTTTTTAGCTGAAGTCTGTGCGCTTGCTTTCATTTCCTTTTCCTCTCATGCGTTGTAAAGAAAAGCTTTAGTATAATGGATTTGATCTCACGAAGATGTATGATTTTTTTTCTGTATGACCGTTTCAACTCGAAAACAATATAGCTGTCTTCTTTGTTACTGTGGTGGACCAAGTGAGCATTCTCCCCTTAAATAAATTTAGGGGGAAGATTGTCCACTTAATTGAAAGTAATATTTTTCAGCCAATCAGATTTGAGCACAGTGCATGCAGGCTTTACGGCTTGAATTTGCCCTTTAATTTTGGAGGGGAGATTGTTCACTTGGTCTATTAAATAAGAGATTTTTCAGACTGTGGGGTGGGGTGTTAGCATTTTCTAACTGTTTGGGTTCACTAAATTGCATAACCAAGCGGTTTTTGAACATTCAATTACTTTTTATTTAAACAATAAATTTGGTCGGTACACTTCGAGAAAAATACATGCTTTTGTAGACTTTTTGTCTGCTGCAGTGCTATCTTAAAAGGGTCAGTTAAGTTAATTCAAAAGTTAGTTTAGTTTATTATAACTTTTTCGCTTATTTTTTCTTTTTTCTGGCGTCTTGATGGTTTGTGATTTAACCGGCGTCCAATTTAAACCACCTCAATTGATCAGCAAGCTCTCATATATTTAACTGCGCGATGCTTTGTAATCTGCCAATCTATTTAGTTGTAAAAGTATGTATGAAAACTTTCAAAGATTTTTAAAATTAAGTTTCATCTAATGCTGTAGGATTTTACGTGCAGGTGTGCAAATTTAGGGTCAAGTTTACTACCTCAATTTCACCAGAGTAAAATCATATTAGCCCGAGTTAAATTGTTGCGTTAAACCTAAGCATGTTTGAAAAACTTCCACGGTGCTCGGGGAAAAACAATTGTTCCTTTTTGTTACTACTCCAACCAGCGGTGTACATGACATCCCCGATCCGCCACGTTATCGCTGTTAGAGCGGCAGGTGTATCATATTATAATAAATATCGTCGACTGGCATATATATTTTATATGTCACTCAAAAACCGGGCATGTAGGTTTTTGAAATTATTTTTTCCTCTTGATAATTTATAAGGTGTTTCAACAGGACGATTTGTGGGTGATGTAGATGGGAATTTGGGCGGAAGTGGAGGCGGGGGGACAGAGGAAGGAGTGGTTTGGGTAAAGAAGAGGCCGGAACATGACTTAAACTTCAACATTGAGCAGAGCGAGGGCAATGAGTTTGTCATCACAGACTTGGACGCCAGTCCGGAACTAATGCAGCAAATCGATCAAGGTCAGATGAAACTTATGGTCCGTTGGGTGGGTTGTTGGTGGGTGGGAAAAGAAATGATTCTGTGAGATGTCGTAACATAATAATGCCTTTAAAATAGCACTTTGTAACTCTTCCTCGGAAAAAGCATGACAAAGCTCACGAGATGTCGCTGAAATTAAAGTATAGAACTTAAACAGTATTTCTTTGTGCTCATAAGTCATAAACGGGATGCACTGCCGATATGCGATGATTTGGTTGACCTTCCTTAAAGCTGTTAAAGATGTGTATTTTGTGATATAGGAGATATTCTGAAGGGGTGCATGATTGACTTCCAAAACTGCACTTTGTCAAACTCCATCGAGGTCCTCCAGGTAGTGTCTCCATTCGTGGCCCAGTTGCAGGTGGAAAAGAAGAACCGAGCGGGTGGTGTTTCTGGCTCGACTGGCGCTGGGTTGGATATCAATCCCCACGTGGCCATAGACATGCAATCTCCTACTGGTGAGTGTTGACGTGTCAGCTAATCGAAACTTATTTTGAAGGCCCAGAATGGTTCCACAAGAACAGCTTACTTAAATAAAGTTATTCTAAAAAGTTGTGGTTTCCAGTTACCAACAAAATCAACCTCAAAGTCAACATCAAAGCACCACAAAAAACATCAGATGAGTTCTAGTGATACATAATTTGAAAACTTTTTTGCTCGTGATTCGAGCTGGAATAAAACATCTAGTGTTAAAATCTGCAGCGTCGACAAAAAGTAGTGTGTAGTTTTTGCATTTTAGACTAATCTAAGCGGAAGAGTTAGTCACAAGTCTATTTCATCCGACTCAAATATAATGATACTATACTTAAATATTTTAAACATTGAGGGTAACTAATTTGCATTCTTAACCCCTCCTATAAAAACAAACCATTTTGCACAAAAAATCCTGCCTTATAATTAAGTTCAAGAACCGACTCTGCTAATTTGATATAGAAGTAACGTCAGTGCATCAGACGCTAGAGACCTGAGGCATGAGTCCAGTCAGGGTCTGTTCTTTTTGCAAACTGGAAAATTTCAGCTGGTTTGTCTTATTGTTCCGACCATTGAAAATGGAGAGGAACATTGTATTGGGGTATTTTAATTTTTGTTTTTGTTTTCCACGCAAAATCAGGTGCCACAAATATTAATGGGACTGGGTTGAGTGATACATTATATTAAAGCCCTTGCAGTCGCGATTCGAACGATTTTCAAAAGTTTTGAAAACGTTTTCCCAGTGTCGAGAAAAACCTGTTTGAAATTTTTTATTTTTCGTCTTAATTCGAGCGAATAAATAAGCTTGCAATAGCTTATTTTAATGGATTAAAAGCTTACAATAACATAATTTAAGACGTAAAAGTTTAGTTTTACTCGACGAAAGTGAGTTTTTTTTAGTATTTTAGCGCTTTTTTGGAATGAAGAATTTCAAAAACTGTAAAAAAAAAATGGAAAAAAATGGTTTTTCTTGTCATTTTGAACATAAATTGTTTTCCAATTTTGTATTTTACTAAAATTGTCGAAAATGCCTAAGCTCTTTTTTTTTGTCAAAATGTTTTTATCACACCGCTCCGAAAAAACTGAGACGATGGTCGGACATTTCTGTGCACCGTAAGCGGCTGTCCTTGTTTTTGTCGGTTTTGTTTTCACAGCAAATCTTTTTGAAGGTTCAGCTATTTATTATTTCAGAATGGCATTTACATTATTCTGTATGATGCATAGAATTGAGTTTTAAGTATTTTTGTGGTCATTTTTATTATATTTGATAAATGATTATCATAAATAAATCCAAGTCGAGATTTGTGTTTCAAGTGATTGGAATTTTTTTAGATTTTGATTACAACGTTCTGAAAAATTTAACTTTTTCCCATTTTTCGAGATTCACTTCTTTTGGAAATGAGTATTTTTAAGCTATAAGTATGTAAGCGAATGGGTCTTGTTTGCACTAGAATTTTCAAAATATTTGGAAATATCGAGTTTTTTTTCTTTTTTTCTCATAACTATTTGTATACAGACATTTAAATATACCTGTCATATATAATTGTAGCTTTTATTGTATTGCAAGTGGTGCGAAGTCTGTTTTGACTATCTACAATAAAACTGCCTTAACTGTCTTGAGTTTAGATATTTGATCAGTGTTTTGCTTATAGAAATCCTAATGAAGCTGACATTTTAGCTGATTTGAGAACTGGCCAAGAACTAGACGTTCATCAGCAGCAACCTGAAAACAGAAAAGCAGGAGGGTCTCTGGTGTTCGACTCAGAAGCGAACATTGATGAAACTGATATCCCTGATGGGCAAACCCAAAACAACTTTGATCTCCATGACGCTCCTCCGATCTCCCCTTTCAGTGGCGAAATCAATGGGGTTGCATCAAATGATGTGAATATAGACGTTCCTAATCGATCTTTCCAGTCCTCCCGAAAACCTTCAGCGAGCGAGATATCTTTTGACGCCATATTGAACGCGTCTAACTCTCGGAAAACCTCCATGTTTGCATCAGGGCCAGACTCCAAAGAAGTCCATATAGACATTGACTTAGGAGTTGATAAAAATAGAAATCTCAACTCAGAAAACCCTCGAATGGCTCTGGAAACCCCGTCTGCCAGAACAGAAACCAAAACTACGCGCAATGAAATGGAAATGGATACACCAGAAATGAAAAAGAAAGGACTTTTTGCATGTTGTGGTCCTAGTCAGAAGTCTAAGAAGTCCCCGAAAAATCCTCACCCCTCACATAACACTCCAACTTTCAATGCTGAAACCAACATAGACACTGATGTTGAAGTTGGATTACCACAAGCAGAATTAATTAGTGATGATGTCATAAGATCTGACACGACACGCACCGCTGATCTTTTTGCAGTCGCAGTAGACAGTAGTCTAGCGGAAACCCCAGAAGTAGACCACGAAATGAAATTTGCGGTACCTGAACCTAGTATTCCTGCAGAAGTCCCTCGGGCTGGCATAAATCTAGAAAGTAGTCCAAATCTAAACATCTCAAATGACAAAGACTTCGAATTCAACCCTCAAATTGACGTAGATAAACCTGAAATGCAAAAGGATAAAAAGTTTGGCGTTGGTGGCAACATCGAAAAGGATGCGAACATTGAAATTCAAGGAATTAAACTGAACAAAGGGTTTGGATTCGGCGATTTCGATGTTGGTGACGATACAAATAATGAAACTGAGCAACCGAAACTAAAGAAGGGTATTATTTTTGGGCTTGAAGGTGACAGTGATGCGGATGCTGACGTTGGAGCGAATCTTGAGTTTAATACTCCCAAAATAAATGGATTCGGTTTTAAGACTGAAGCTGACGGGGATCTGCCGTTTAGTAAGAGTAAAAAACCAGAGGTGGATTTCGCTGAAAATTATGATAAATTTGCAGTCGAAACAGCCACAGGCGAGGATGCCAAAATCGGCTTCGAAGGTTATGAAGGTCCATCGCTTAATAAGAACTTGAGTGCAAACCTGAATATGAGCAATGGTGGATTCAATTTGGACGGCATCGATGCTCATAACGAAGGATTCGATTTCGGCATCTCTGCAAATGCCGATGGCGATGAAGCCAGAAAAACTCAGTCGGACCTGGACGCCCGACTTGAGAAAAAAGTTCTTCCCAGTTTCGAAAGAGACGATAATCATTCAAAAGATGGGCTTAAAGTGGAAACGCATGCTTTCGACATGGATGTTAAAACCGATTTCGATAAACCAAGAGTAAAAACTAACTTTGGCGCAAAGTTCAATGATGACGAAAGCGACCTCCAAAAAGATGACAAGAAAAACTTCGGTTTTGGCACAAGTCCAAATGCTCAAGATGAAAAAGATGGTTTCAATTTTGGAATTGACCTTGACGATCCCAGTGCAGAAATAGAGAAAGAAGCCCGTCTGGAGAGCAAAAAGGTTCCAGTTGACTTCAAAGCCAGTGCGAATGTCTCCGCACCCGAATTTCTCGGAGAAGGTGATAAAGAGGGAGAAGGCTTGATGGGAAAATTGAAAAAAGGGTTCGGGTCCATGTTTGGAGGAGACAGTGACGAAGAGCAAGAAGCTAAAGTGAAACAAGATGTGAACAAGAGTCTTGATCGGCCTGTATTGAATGTAGAAGCCACTGCAGGTGTATCGAATGAAATTGCAATTGACAATGACGTTAAAATGACATCGAAAGGTAAGATTAGCAAGCGTTATCAAATCGGAATATACACTTTTTTCGGGCTAACAATTTATTTAATAGAATCACTTAGTATCTTTATTCATAAAGAATTCATATTTCTTAGCATCTCCGGCAAACTAGTCATGGGACAGAAAAGGACCTGAGTTCGAATCTGACAAAGACCTGTTTTTTTTTTCAAACGAAAAATTCCGTTTCTAAAAACATGTCAACCTATTATTTTTCTGCTTATGATTTATCGGCTTAGTTGCCACATTTTCGTTTTTGATTTAATCCTTTTTTTTCGTTTTATTTTCGCTTAAAACTTGTTCGCCCAAATGATTTCGGCTTGTATTTAATCGGCTCAACAACCTAGTTTTTGGTCTTTTCAATTCAAGGGAAACATAATTTTTATGCTACCCTCCGGATCGAACAAAATGCTAAAAAAATCTTAAATCTTAGAATAAAATTCTAAATTGTTCATGACGACAAATGTGTTTTGCGGTTCTACGGGAATTTTCCCACATTTTTGGCACAGTTGCCGCTCGATAAATTCTTTTGAATTTTCATTAAATGCCGTCGATTCTATTCTGGACGCAAATAGAACTTTCCAGACAACATTTTAACACTTGCGAAACCTTTACCTAAATCGCAAATTTTAGTGCTTTTTTGGGGCACCCTTACAGCTTTTTCATAGCATATGATTTGTCATTCGAATAGTAAGAAGTTAACTCAGTTGATGCATTTTTAAATCATCAAATGAACCTAAAAAAGCTATTTGGTACAAACAATATAACTATAATTAAAACTCAATTTCAGCAATTTTCAAGCACAATGTATCGCAATTGTTCGGAATGCACAATTTATACATCAATATGGTTTTATACTTTCCGGTTTACTTTCCGATTTACGCAAAGTTAGCGTCGATGCCTTCAATTTGTTATATTTCATTTTATTACTTGCAAAACTGTGTTTTTTTATTTGGTGCAACTTTTGCTGCATCGAACTCGCAATTTATTAGCATATGTAGCTGCGTTATTGGTGGCTAGTTTTTGGGAATTTTACGCATCCTTGGCTGAGTGCTTACTGCGTGAGACTCAAATTTGCTAGGTCGCAAATTCAAATGCGACACATAGCCGAGTTTTTGCTATTTCGAGGCTTATTTCTTTGTTTTCACTGAATAGAGCTGCTTTTTGGTCGTATTCTTGCAAGTGTTTGCAAAGCACAGCGCCTCTGTGTAATTTGCTTTGAAATTCGAAAAGTAATAAGTTCGCATAACTGATGTGTTTTCAATTCATCAAATGAGCCGTTAAAACTGATTTGTATCAAACAACATAATAATCATGAAAACTCAATTTCAGGAATTTTCTAGCTCAATAAATCTCGCAATTTTTTGAAATACATAATTTATACATAATGTGGCTTTATGCTTTGCAATTTGTTACATGCAAAGTTTTTATGGATGCCTTCAGTTTGTTATAATTCAAATTATTACTTGGAAAATTGAGTCTATTTGTATTTGGTGCCACTTTTGCTGAATGGCATTGGCAATTTGTTAACATATGTAGCTGCTTTTTTCGTGAATAGTGTTTGTTGGTTGCTGAGCTTGTGTGACTGAGTGGATAGTGCGTGCGACCCACAATTTTTTGTTTGCGGTAGGTCGCAGATCGAATCCTAGATTAAGCCGAGTTTTTGCTAATTCGAGGCCTATATCTACTTTTAAGAGTAATGACCATAGTGAAGACTCTTATTTAGGTTTTGCTGATTTTTTTGTTTTTTTTTTTCAGGAAAAGTCTTAAAAGTCTCTAATAACTACAGATGCGCATTCATACATATTGATGCAATTATGAATGCTTTTAGATATACTTGCCTTTTTTGAGTTCAATTGAAAATCATCTGCTGAAAGTGACATAATTAGCACTCTGCAAATAAGAACTTGGAAATGGCGCAAAAAAACGAGAATGATTTCTAGTTTCGAAAGTGTTCTTTAATTTTTAGCTTTCCAGTGGAATAAAAACTTTACCTATTGATCCCGTTTTTTCTAATTAAGTTCATGTTATCAAAAAAGTGTCAATCATCAATTGTTCTAGAAATTCAAAAAGTGTTTAAAGGGGATCTATTTGTATGTTTACTTGCGCTCATTACTCTTTCAATCTTCGATTGGTTAACATTTTCTAATTGCACTTTTTAGAGCTGCTTTTTGGTCGTGTTCTCGCAAGTGTTTCGGAAGCGCAGCTTCGCCTCTGTGTGAAAGTATTTTTCTATGTGGTTTTCCATTTTTTTTGGTCTTAGTGGTTCTCCTTTCCTTGCGTATCTGCTAGTTTACAATGCTTTCTAGTGTGGTTTCGCATGTTTTGTGAAGCTCCGCTTCGCTTCTGTCTTTTAGTATATAAATCGCACATGTCATTGAAAAGTTGATGTGTTATTTAAACATGATTAGGTTTTATATCTTGATCAAAGCGTATTCCTGCCTTATTTATTATCCAAGCATGTAAGCGATGAGAGGAGTCTGCCCTAGTTAGAATAAATTCGATGCACTTGGAAATACCAGCGATTAGAGTTCCGCACTCTTCGCTATTCTGTCAACTGTCAATGCTCGTTTTCGCGTTTTCTTTATTTTAAGAAAAAATTTTGTGCCATTTTTCGAATTTATGTGTGAAGAACAGTTTTTTTCTTACTCCAGGCAACAAGACTCCTAAAATGCAGGCTTCTGTGGGCTTGGACACCGGAGTCAAGCGGGAACTGACCAATGGACCCAGCGAACCCAGTGACATTAAATCCAAGAGTGAGTCTACTGGAGACAAGGACAAAGATGGCAAGCACGTGCTGGCAGTGTACAAGCCAGAGTACAAGATAATCATCGACCCAGTGACTGGACAGAAGAAAAAGTTAAGGAAGAGGAGAAAGGAGGAGGGGGAAGAGTGGAAGGGCAGAGACTATGACATCAAGATCGATCCCCGCACTGGCGAGAAGGTCAAAGTCAGGAAACACACCCCGGTATAAATCTCTAATGAAGATTTTTAAAGTGCAAAATGTTTATAAGCCGGTTGCTGTGCAAGTAGTACAGAATCTTCCGACCACATTTATGAAAAAACTACAAAAAAATTTGTTCTTCGTTTTTCTTCAAATTAGTTTCGTTTTTTTTTGTGCGTAGTGTGATGAAGAAACTATGCAAACGCAGAGAACTTTAGCGAATTAGCCGTAATCGACAACAGTTGTCTTCCAAAGTAATGAATAACAAACATAAACAATGAAAAAGTTAGAAAAAAATTTAAACTTTCTAATTTTTTTTGCCCATTAGTTTTTAAAACCGGTTTTTCTCAACACTGGGACAAACTGGTTTTTCTTTACATTGGAACAACTTTTTGAAATATTTTTAATGTTTGTGTTACCTAATTTAGCGTTGAAAAAAACTTGAACACACCCGAATACAAAGTTTATCCCCATTTTCGATGGTCGGAACAAAAAGCAGCTACTTGATTGCAAATAGATTTTTAATCTTAATTTGATGAATTGTAATTTTTAAGATGAATCTTAATTTTGAAGTAATTGTTAAATTAAAAACAAAAGTTGGATCTTAATTTGATGAAGGTTTTGAAGTAATTGTTAAATTGAAAACAACCGTTTGATTTGAAGTAGATTGTCAATTGTCTAATCTTGGAAATTGGATTATTCGTGATGAGAGATGATAAAGATGTTTTTGTTCCGACCATTAGAAATATGTGGCGGAACTTTGTATTCGGCTGTATTTTAGTTTTTTTTTGTTTTCCACGCAAAAACAGGAGAAAAACTGGTTTAAAATTTTTGATTTCCAGTTCAATTTTGAGCGAATAAAGCGAGCGAGCAGGCTTACAACTGCTTATTTATGCTTTATTTAACCCCTGAAAACTTAGTTTTAAGCAAGTTAATTTAGTTTTTGGAGTAGAAAATTATTTATTACATTTGCTGCAAAAAAAACTTTTGTGTAATTTGCTTTTATTACTATGACTGTCGGATATGCCAAAATTATAGTTTTATGTCAGACTTTTTTATCACACCACGCAGACAAATAAGACTAATTGGATAAAAAAAAAATTTTTGCAGTTTTTAAAGACTATAGACGGACTTGCACAGTAACCGGCTATCCTTGCTTCGTATTGCTCCTACACCAAATAATCATAAATACGAAAATTAATGAACGAGTTTTTTCAGCGCGCCACATCTCACGAACCCCTTTCTGCCTCCCAAATGGAGTCACCGGCCGCAAACAACAGGACTTCAAAGTCCGCGGAGAGACCTCAGACATCTTTAAAACAACAGAGTCCCGGAAGCCCAACAGGTATGCCTAATGGGGGAGGAGAGTGCGAACTATCCATAGACACCAACATGGATATCACTGGCGAAGTGGACGGAAAAGCGTCTGCTGGATCTTTTCTGGAAGCCAAGTTACCATCGGCAAAAGTAGTAACAGCGGCCAGTAATGAAGGCTTCACATCTCGCAAGGAACTCGACATGATTGACAAATCTCTGGAAGAATTACGAGCCGCCCAGAGCATCTCAGTGAACGCATCTGGACCCCGGTTTGGATATTCTTCCGCCGGAATTGGGCGCGGCTCAGATTCCGATTAGACTTATTATTGAACCCTTCCCTTTTTGCAATTTTCTACAATATGTATCTTTTTACTCGGTTATATGTGCTATTTTGGACAAATCGCATTCGGATTTTAGATTTTATCTCTTTTGTGTATAGTGACTACGTTGCACCTGTCTTTAACGCGGTTAAAAATTAGCATTGTGTGGTATTATATGTCACTTTTGTGAACAAGCTTCCATTATTAAATGAGATGTAGTTTCAAATTTAAACAGTTGTAATCGGATCTTAAGATTAATAAAAAACAGTATAAAGTTGTTGTGTAATATTAAATTTATACCTTTTCCTAAATTTTGGTATTTGAAAGACAGAATGTGCCCACAGAGCATTAAAAATTCTTCCACCAAAAAACTCACGCGAAAGCTGTTCACTATTTTGAAATTGAATCTGTTGCTGCATTTGAAGCACCTGAGCCCCAAAGTACCGTTTTTAAGAGAGATATTCTTCTAAATTTGTCTGAACAAAACAGTGCAATGCGATCTATTTCTATTATATGTTTGAACGCGGGCTTCATTATCTCGCCATGTTTAAGTTTTTTCAACGTATTATTTTGGCTGTTTGACAAAAGAATTTTTTCTCGTTTAAGCTACATCGTATATTGCAATGGTTTAGATTTTTTTCGATTTTCCTGTTTGAATTCAGTGTTTTTTTTTCACCTTGAAATTAGCAACCCAATAGTGGGACGCTGTCAGGGTTTCCCCGGTAATGCGATTTTGGCCTCCATACTTGAATAACCAAATCCTTTTAGGTTACGAGATGCGGCAATTTTCGAGATTTTTCAAGAGATTTCTAGAAAACCTAGTTTTTTAAAATTTCTTTAAGTTTGAAATTTTCAATTCTGTAGTGAGGGGCCGTCAGATTACTCTCAGGGGCTGTCAGTTTTGCCTCCCGATTGTAGTTTCGAGATATGACGTTTTTTATGATTTTTTCAAAATTTTTTAAAAAAATTTAATTTTTTTAAAAACTTTCTTGTTTGAATTCAGTATTTTTTTCACCAAGTTTGAAATTAGCAACCCAATAGTGGAACGCTGTCAGGGTTTCCCCGGTAATGCGATTTTGGCCTCCATACTTGAATAACCAAATCCTTTTAGGTTACGAGATGCGGCAATTTTCGAGATTTTTCAAGAGATTTCTAGAAAACCTAGTTTTTTAAAATTTCTTTAAGTTTGAAATTTTCAATTCTGTAGTGAGGGGCCGTCAGATTACTCTCAGGGGCTGTCAGTTTTGCCTCCCGATTGTAGTTTCGAGATATGACGTTTTTTATGATTTTTTCAAAATTTTTTTAAAAAATTTAATTTTTTTTAAAACTTTCTTGTTTGAATTCAGTATTTTTTTCACCAAGTTTGAAATTAGCAACCCAATAGTGGCATGCTGTCAGGGTTTCCCAGGTAATGCGATTTTGGCCTCCATACTTGAATAACCAAATCCTTTTAGGTTACGAGATACGGCAATTTTCGAGATTTTTCAAGAGATTTCTAGAAAACCTAGTTTTTTAAAATTTCTTTAAGTTTGAAATTTTCAATTCTGTAGTGAGGGGCCGTCAGATTACTCTCAGGGGCTGTCAGTTTTGCCTCCCGATTGTAGTTTCGAGATATGACGTTTTTTATGATTTTTTCAAAATTTTTTTAAAAAATTTAATTTTTTTAAAAACTTTCTTGTTTGAATTCAGTATTTTTTTCACCAAGTTTGAAATTAGCAACCCAACAGTGGCATGCTGTCAGGGTTTCCCAGGTAATGCGATTTTGGCCTCCATACTTGAATAACCAAATCCTTTTAGGTTACGAGATACGGCAATTTTCGAGATTTTTCAAGAGATTTCTAGAAAACCTAGTTTTTAAAAATTTCTTTAAGTTTCAAATTTTCAATCCTGTAGTGAGGGGCCGTCAGAGTACTCTCAGGGGCTGTCAGTTTTGCCTCCCGATTGTAGTTTCGAGATATGACGTTTTTTATGATTTTTTCAAAATTTTTTAAAAAAATTTAATTTTTTTAAAAACTTTCTTGTTTGAATTCAGTGTTTTTTTCACCAAGTTTGAAATTAGCAAGCCAATAGCGGCATGCTTTCAGGATTTCCCCGGTAATGCGATTTTGGCCTCTATACTTGAATAACCAAATCCTTTTAGGATACGAGATACGGCAATTTTCAAGATTTTTCAAGAGATTTCTAGAAAACCTAGTTTTTAAAAATTTCTTTAAGTTTCAAATTTTCAATCCTGTAGTGAGGGGCCGTCAGAGTACTCTCAGGGGCTGTCAATTTTGCCTCCCGAATGTAGTTTCGAGAATGACGTTTTTATGATTTTTTCATAATTTTTTTAAAAAATTTAATTTTTTTTCCTCGATTTTCTTGTTTGAATTCAGTGTTTTTTTCACCAAGTTTGAAATTAGCAAGCCAATAGCGGCATGCTTTCAGGATTTCCCCGGTAATGCGATTTTGGCCTCTATACTTGAATAACCAAATCCTTTTAGGATACGAGATACGGCAATTTTCAAGATTTTTCAAGAGATTTCTAGAAAACCTAGTTTTTAAAAACTTCTTCAAGTTTGAAATTTTCAATCCTGTAGTGAGGAGCCGTCAGAGTACTCTCAGGGGCTGTCAATTTTGCCTCCCGAATGTAGTTTCGAGATTGACGTTTTTACGATTTTTTCAAAAATTTTTAAAATAATTTAATTTTTTTTTTTCGATTTTCTTGTTTGAATTCAGTGTTTTTTTTCACGAAGTTTGAAATAAGCAAGCCAATAGCGGCATGCTTTCAGGATTTCCCCCGTTATGCGATTTTGGCCTCCATACTCTAATAACCAAATCCTTTTAGGCTACGAGATACGGCATTTTTCAAGAGATTTCTGGAAAACCTAGTTTTTAAAAATTTTTTAAGTTTGAAATTTTCAATTCTGTAGTGAGGGGCCGTCAGATTACTCTCAGGGGCTGTCAATTTTGCCTCCAAATTATAATTTTTGAATTATGACTATTTTTTATGATTTTTTCAAAAGTTTTCAAAAAACTTAAATTTCTAATGTTTTCAAAAAAAATCTCAATCCTGTTGTTAGAAACTGTGGCGGTACTCTCAGGAGTTGCGAATCTTGCCTTTGAATATAACTGCTCATATTCTTGTAGTTTTCGAGATCTACGTTTTGTAGGATTTTTTCAAGATTTTTCAAAGAACTTAGATATAAAAAAATCACAAAAATTGAGGTTCACATCTCTATAGTGAGGTTTTTTCAGGATATTCCCAAGAAGTGCGATCTTTGCCTTCAAAATTGACTGCTCAAATCTTGCTAATTTTCTAGATGTGACGTCTTTTGTGATGTTTTCAAAATATTTTAAGAAAACTTGAATTAAAATTATTTTTTCAAAATTTGAAATTCCTAACCCTGTAGTTGGGGGCTCTCAGAGTACTCTCAGAAGTTGCAAATCTTGTTTCCAAAAAAGGCTGCTGAAATCTTTGTAGTTTTTGAGATATGACGTTTTTTGTGATTTTTCAAAAAAATTTCAGAAAAGTTTTTTTTTTACAAAATTTGAAATTTTTTACCTTTTAGTTGGGGACTGTCAAAGTACTCTCAGGGTTTGCGAATTTTGCTTCCAAGTATGACTGCTCAATTTTTTAAAAATTTCGAGATATGAAGTGTTTTTTATTGTTCAAGTTCCTAACCTTGTAGTTGGGTTTTGTGACAGTACTCTCAGGACTTGCAAATCTTGCGTTCAAATGCGGCTGCTCTTTGTTTCAAGTTTCCGAAATGTGACGCTGCTTAGTGAATTTTAAATTTTTTTCGTAGAACGTCTATATATAAAGCTTTATGGTTTTTCAAAATTTGAATTATAAAAACTTGAATCAAAAACTTTGCAAAAATTGAAACTACCAGCCCCGTGATTGGGTGCTGTCAGGGTACACTCAAAGGATACAGATCTTTTTTTCATTTTATGCGGTTTTTGATAAGTGGTTCAAAATTCGATGCACCGAAGGTGCGTTTTAGGCTAGTAGTCAATTAAACACAACTTACATTTTTTTTGGCCCACCTCATTCTGAATCAAAGACCATGTGTGCAAACGATTGACAGCCATATCACTTTCGTTTCCTTATCAAGAGTTGATGAACGTAGTGAAGATTCTTATAAAGGTCGTGATGATTTTTTTTCAGAAAAAATTTTTAAAATTTTTGCACTGTTAATTATGATTTTTCGTGGTCAATCAGTTGTTTTTAATTTTCTAAGGTGGGAGAACACAAAAGTCAGTAACCAGCAGAGCAGATTCAAACTACTTTTAAAATTGACTACTCTTTGTTTGAAATTTTGATTTAGCACCTTATGATTTAACGGTTCAGATAGTTAAATAGTAGTAGATTGGTTTTTAAATCAATCGTACTCATCATAAAGGGTTGAAACAGCGTTTTGTATAAATTGTTTTAGTCAGATATAACCTAATTGTGAAATTTGTCAGCTTATTTAATGCTTCTCCAAATTTCGGCCAACTAACTATACCTTGAAAGCCATTGCTTGAAAAAAAAATAAGTCACTAGAATAGCATCATAAAATGTGTCCGTAGCTCGCTACTATTTGTTCGTTGGTGATGGAGTTTCAAAGAGAGACACAGAATAAGTAAAAACAAAACTACGTTTGAATTGAGAAGAATATTTTTGTTTTCTTCAAAACGGTTTATTATTTTGTTTCATCAGACTCCAGATATTTGATTTTTTTTGTGCCGGATAATTGACGGACTGAACATCTATAACGGCCAGCGCTTAAAGAGGATTTTTTCCGAGAATAAGCAGATTATGTTGAGAATTTCGCGCTGACGGTCTGTTTACTGCGTGAAGGAAATGATATCTTTCATGACTATGAAAGGCTTAAAAGTTTTGTAGCTTTGTTAGATGAAAAGATTGTGGGCATTTGTCTGAACAGTAACTTGAAAACAGTTGAAAACGCAACAACACAAAAGCTTGTTCGAGTTTTATTGCATAAAAAAGGCTGAGGTTGTGGCCATTCTAATTAACGGTATTTTTTGATCGAATGAAACTGCATCAGAAAAATTAACATGTTTCTACTAGTTTAACTTCCTGCTTATTGACTTATTAGTTTGAAACTATTGCATCAAAATTTGTCGGACCACACTTGATTTTCCTAGCTTTTTTCACAGCCAGATTAATCTAATTGCATCAATAGGTAGTGCGTCACCTGTTTGAGATTGAAAAACCAATTGCTCCGAGCGATTCTGTTTTTTTTGTTCTTGGACGACTGCATTGCCAAAACACGTTCACTTTTGGGATTCGTACTGCTGTGAAAATCAGTACTGATGCAATAAT